TAGTCAATTCACGGTTCATATTTGCAGTTCGTTGCGTTCGTATTGACAGGAAACAAATAAACTCCGAGCTAACTGAGGTAAATGCGCAATTTTAACAAAGAAAAGGGTCAAAAGGTCGAATGCCAAACAAATACAAAATACAGCATATCAAAAAGTCTATATTCATTGAGCATGATGATCAACGGTGTGAAGAGAGTGCCAAGGTAAAAAATGCTCGACTATTTGACACTCTGTTTAGTATTAAATCAACGGCTTATGAACTATAATTAAAATATATTTTGTAAAAAACAAAATAGAAAATTGGTCATTATGTGGATTAGGGTTTTAAAAACACTACAAAAAAATGTTATATATAAATGAATCAAACTCTTAATTGCTTTGTAATTTAGGGTACACTGTCTCAACTATCTGTCTAGTAACTAGTTTTTAATACAAACCCATTACAAGTCAAAGGGCGAAATGTGAATCACGCAACAAAATTTAAGACACATGTGAGCAGGGGATAGTAAAACAAAAAACACACACACAATCGGAATAAAACAATGCGAGGCAAGCAAGCGGAAACGGAAGTCAGCAGAGACTGACAGCAGTGCGAAAAGGGCGCCAGCAGAAGGATGCTCGTAAAGTCAAGGCGAACGGGAAGACAATGCCCAACAGAAATGTTAGCAGGAAAAGCGACAACAATAATAATAACAACAATAACAAAAAGAAAACAACTGTTGACCTCCTGTGTCTTGGTATTTTGGTGCATGTCACGGCCTGTTGTCTGTCTTTCTCTATTTCGCTTGCCATTAGTATTTTACGATCTTTTAAATAAGCGAACACAACTTTATGACATTCCAATTTGAAGCTAACAAAAGGGGTCATCAACTACTCGAAACTGTTCAGGCCAAATAGGCACGCCTGCAACAGCAGCAGCAACAGGAGCTGAATATGTTGACAGGATGACAGCAGCGAAATGGCAATGGCCATAAACGAAACTGTGCAAATGGCTTAAATGCCGCTAAAAATTCGACAGTAAACACAGCCCACCAAACATGTTTCACATAGTATATAGCACTGTATATGTCAACATGTGTTTTTATTATCAGGGAATGCAGTCTGCTTGCAACTTGCATGATTCTGCACTCGCGCTGCTACAAATGGAGCTCTTAATTAAGAGCACCCCTCCCTCGCACACCGGCCAAATGGCAAATGCAACCAAAAGGAAACGGAAATGGTAACTGCAGCTCTGACTACGGACTGTGGACCGGCGTTTAATGCCGCGGCCATAAATCTCACGAAATTCGGGCGCACAGAGGCTATATAAATATATACGACGAGCGATAGCCGTGTGAATTGCGACTTTTATGGCCTTCAAGCCGGCCAAGTGAATTTAATGCCAGCTAATTACTTACTTATTATAAATTCGTTTAGTTCTACTGAATATCTTACTTTTTCTTCACTGCCACAGCTTAGCGAAGCAACAATGATTTTTGTGTGCCATAAAAAAAAAGCATTTATTATGGTTTTTAGATGCGAATCAAAATGAATGCTGTAAAGAATTTTATGCGTGCCCAAGTAGAATTAGAACATGAATTTTAAATCTTAATGCAGTACTAATCTAGATGCCAAACCGTAATCAAAATTGTATTGCTTTTCACAAGCGTCTTAATTTTGACGAAATTATGCCAGTGGAAGATTCCCGCCCCAAAGTTGAGTTTTCGCAACAGAATTCTTACCTTAATTCCAATCAAACATTGCAAATGAATGCTGATACAGGTAATTTTGTATTTAAGCGAATAGCAAGACATTAGAGTATTTTATTGCAGAATGTGGTCTGCAATTCAATTAGCGAGCACTTAGTAGTAGTTTCACTTGTGACATCTGCCGTTGCCTGTTGGTTCTGCTTAATGTTTGGCCCGCAAGCGAGGCAGCAGCAACTACAACTGGCTGTAAACATGTGGAATATAAGCAGCTATCAGCAATTTTACCTTGCTGGCCGATGATAAATTGCAGGCACTGCAATTAAGAATGCGACCGACGGGCTCCACAGTTTGTTCCCATTGTTTTCTCCATATCATCCCATTTGCCCACTCTATCCTACCGGTTAATTTCTGGCTGAATTGTGCACTCTGAGCTCGGGGCATGCAATAAACAATTGCGAATGGCGGGCGAGTTGACAGCGAGACAGTAAAGCGGTAATTGCATGTAAACATTTCTTTATGTGCGTCGCTGGATGATTTTTTTGTTTTTGGCACTAGCTGGAAGCGGGATAATTAGATGAGTAGTAGGATGGTTGATTGAAGCCGCGAGCAACGCTCTGATCAAAGTTAAATATTGCTTCGATATGTGGGAAAGCAATTTCCTTTGTGTTATTAAATCGTTCAAAAGCTGCTAGGGATTCATTACTTGATTATGATGAGATCATTCTTGCTTTGTAGTATGCGTCATGAATATTTCATAATAATTGCTTAATGAACAAAGCAGTTATAAAGGGATAACATTTTTTAATATTATTTCACAAGAATGCCAGAGCTTACAAGCACTTAGTCATATTACTAAATTAAACTTGAACTATTTCACAGCTTAAAATATGAAAAGGCTAACTAACGCAATTAAATAATTGCATATGAATTGAAACAGACTGCACTCTCAAAATAGATATAGATTTGAATTTCCTAGAAATCAGCGAACAACTACCTTAATGTGGCGCCTCAGGCAGCTGCAGCAGTTTTCACTGTAAACAATAACAAAAACATTTGATGGAGTTGCGATAGCAACAATTTACAGTTATGAAAACGCTGCCAACACAATTGCAATAATTTAACTTCCGTTTCATGGCGGCATTTTGTGTTTCCGTTTCTGTTTCGCTGCCATTGCCATTTCCGCTGTCCATCGTTGGCCACAATCTGTTCGTTACAGTCGCAGCTTGTTGTTGCAACTATTGTTGCCATCGTTTTACGCTTCAAACGAGCGCCTTTTCGCAGTGACCACACCCACCATTACCCGCCCCCTTTCTAACACTGCCTCTGCGTCCATGCAACTAGAAATGGCCACAGCCAATTGCTTTGGCTCCGAAAATCCGATTCAATGTTCCATGTCCTGTTCCATGTTTTCATGGCTACGAGGATTACTGTTCCAACTATCATTGTCCCATTCGCAGTTGTTAGACTACACTCAAACAAAAATATGGCCTAGAACTCCACGCCAATTCAAAATTGCTTTCTAAAAGTAATAAATATTTGATCTTCAGAAAGTGAGAAATATTATTTGCCGATTCTTTGAAAGATACCTCTATATTGAATATTTTTACCTATTATCTATGTATTTCAGCAGTAAGTTTTTTCACAGCGTGTCCTTACGCTATATCCTTAAATGTTCTTAGGCACTTGCAGTGGCCTGCGGATTGCATTCTTCGCTGGTCGACGCCATCGTAATTTATTCAAATTTCAAGTCGTAAATAAACTGGCATAAACATAAGCACAGTCGCTGACGCTGCGTCTGCCTCTGCTTCTGCCACTTGCCCCGCCTACAAATCATTTTTCAGCTCAAATATGTTACGTTTCTCCCCGCCTATCCGCCTCCACACTCATCTTGCTACAGCCCCACTTGTGCCACAACATTGAGAGAGCACTGAACAGCTTCTGGTCTGTGCTGCAAATTGGTCCCCAACACACTTGCTACATAGTTTTAGACGCCTGTGTTTAATGTTTAGTTCACGCAAAAGGACGAATTAACAGCAGCTACAAGAACAGCTCAGGCAACCTGTCAGCTTCAAAGGAAACCGTTTCTTGACTTTGATTGGCATTTTGAAAGAGCACGTGCCATTTTAGTCGCTTCGAATTACCCCTTCTGTTAGCATTGACATTTGCAATCAGCACTCAGGTGACTTCCATTCGACTACATACAATGATATATATAAAGCTAAAGCTAAAGTAAACACATTTACTATCTGTCTGACTGTCTGTCTGTTTGACGTGCTCAAGATTTTTGAATTGAACTAACTGGCATTTGATTGATTGATGCTCGATTCATTTGATGTTTTTCTTTTTTCTCTTTCCTCGGCTCCACACGCTTTGGGGCCATAAATTTACTTTATCGACAGCTTACATTTGTAAAACTTGCTTACCGAAGAGAGCAGTAAAAGGCATTTTACAGTTTTTGTTTTTTCTTCAGTATTAATATTTTATTTATTTCTAATTGAATTCACTTTCAATCATATTGAGTGCATACATTTTTAAGATTGTATTTCTTCACTTACTTTAGGAAGTATTTAAAATGTATTCGCTTTTAAACATCTACAGCAAATTTAAAGTTTGTGGGTTCAGCTAAGGCTTGCAAAAGATTATACAAAGTTGTAAGAGAAGTATATTTTGTTCATATATCAAACGATATGGCTAAGAGTATACAACAAATATATTTTACTGAAGATATGCTATCAGTTATTTTTAGACTTTCAATATGGAATATCACTTTTTCGGCCACAATGTCAGCTCAAAAGTAAAACATAATCGGACTCTGAACCCTATCCTTATCTTTGTTTTTAAATGCCGTATGCCACGTGATGCCACAAATGATAACTGAAGTTCAATAGCTTATACTTACTATTTTTGTACAGCTTTCTCGACAAACCTATTGTAAAGCCAACAAATTTAAGAAAATAAATTGACTTTGGATCCACTGACAGAGAGAGAACTGGCATACTCGTACATAACAGCTAATACCTTTAACCGTACTGGTTTGCTGTGTTGCCATTCGAATTCTGTTTTAGCTATAAACTTCCAAGGTCCATAAAGTTGAGGCACGTTCCGAATGACTGGCAAAATAATCAAATTGCGCAAATAGATATTGAAACAAACAACCGTCTGAGTTATCAGTGAAACAAAGATATTTATTAAGCATACGTTTCTTATCTTACTTAAAAAGTATTTTTTTGTGAAATTATTTTTACAATATAACAAACAAGTGAAGAAAACCCATCCCATTACATAGAGATATCCATAACTGCTGAGACACAATTAGTTCATGTTCTTCTCAAAGAGCTGCCTGGCCTCACTTCTCATCACCTTACCATTCTGATTCTGGGGCAATATATCGACAAATTGTACGCCCGAGTTCAGCTGCTTGTAATCGACAACAACGCGCTTGGCCACATGATCAATAACCTGCTGTTTGGTGAGGGCAGATCCTGGTTTCTTGATGATCAGAGCGCCGGCAGCATCACCATGTCTCTCATCCTTAACGCCCACGACACAGACATTGAGGACGTCGGGCAGCTCGATGATGACTTGTTCGATTTCATTGGGCCAATAGTGCTTGGACTTGTACTTGAGCAGATCCTTCTTGCGATCGACCAAATACAAATTGTTGTCGTCGTCAAAATAACCCAAATCACCCAAATTAATCCAACCGTCCTGCATGGTCGATTCCGTGTCCGCAACATTGTTTACATAACCCTGCCATTTGAAGCCAGTATCAATTAGCACCTCACCAACCTCATTGTGCTGCAAATTGGTGCCCTCGTCATTGACAATCCGGACACGCAGTCCTGGAAATATACGACCCACCGAATTGTTTAGAGTTTGGTCAACATTGCCCGTTATGCCGCCCGTCTCGGTGCTGCCATAGGAGAACAATATGTTGCATTGTTTCATCAGCTCCTGCGCACGTTGCAGCACCTTCAACGATATCCATCCGCCCGTGATGAAGGCCAGGCTAACACTATTCAATGACTTCTCGGTTGCCAGTGGATGAGTAAACAACTCATATGCCTGCCATGGAGCCAAAGCAACAATGGTTGCCTCATAGTCCTGAATAATTTTAAGCGTTTTCTCCGCATTGTAGTCGCCTTTGAATATCAGGCGTGGTGCGCAATAAAATAAACTGAGTACGATACAGCTGAAACCTGTCGCCCAATCGACGGTCGCATGAGTCAGTATAATATCTGTGCTTTTGCAGAGTCTGTAAGGAATTGAAGATTGAAAAATTTAAATGCGAAATTTATATATAATTCTGAATTATCTAAGCGAATCGAATAAGAGTATAAAAAGTCTATACAATAATAGTAAGTAATTTGGCTTACGGTGGAGTCCTCGCAATATACGTGTGGGATATGTGCACCGCCTTGGGCAGACCAGAGGTGCCCGAGGAGCATAAAATGGCTGCTGTTTGATTACCATCTTTATCCAATGCTGCGGGTCTGCCAATTAAAATCCAAATATAAATTCGTCTAATTTTACATGTTATGCCTAACTAAAAATGTGTGTTACTCACTGATATTTGTTCTCCTCAGGTTGGGGCACCAGCAGATCCTCAATATGCGTCACACCCTCTATGCGACCGCTGAGGAGCACAATTTTGGGTGCCCACTCTTTGGTGATTTCCTTGATGCGCTCGTAGTCGAAGCCATCACAGAACATGATCTTTGGCTTGGTAACCTCGTAGAGACGCTGCACGGTCTTCGCGTCCCTTGTCACATTTACCGCATGGAATGGTGTTGCATTGAAGAAACTGGCAACGACCACAGCAACCACATAATTGTTAGTCTCGGAAATTAGGCCAACAATATCCGTTTGCGTTATTTGCTCTTTTTTTAGATACATGGCCAACCGTACGCCCCATTTACGTATCTCCAAACATGTTACCTTTGTACCGTCCTCAATGTTGATCTACTTTGTTGCAAGCAATTAATTAGAACTTCAGCTGAGATTCTCCTGGTTTGTTATCCGTATTTACCTGAATAACTTGGTTGGGGAAATTCCCGAGGGTTGTGTGGATCACATCACCCACGGAGCATCTGGGATCGTAGTAGGGTCGCCTCTTGGCACCCCTCCAGATTTTGGTCTCTGGATCGTAGAAAGTGGGACAGAATGCCTTGGTTGCCATTTAATTCGAATCAATGCGAATTCAATAATGAATAACTTTAAGCAATCCATTGTCTTTATATACCATAAGACTAGCTCATTATCATATAGTTCGTAACATACAGTGTCCCACAGCTCATCAGGTCCAGTGTCTAGCAAAAAATGTAATTGCCTGCCTTAAACTAATTATCCAATATTTTTCAACAATTCCAAAGACCGATGGCAGGTACATATATTGACCACCATAATGAATATGCGATCCCAATAAACTAGGGTTTCCATACCTGCTAAGCCGGGTTATGGTCACATATTATTTGGACCAGGGGCGTTATGAACACCTGGGTGCCATAAAACCCGGGTTTTTTTTACGTCAGCTTGATTATTTTCGGTATAAATAGACCAATCCTTCGTAGTCAGTTTAGTTGTATCCTGCATCTCGGGTGCAACCAGCCAACAAGGACTATGGACAAACGGACTACCATTGAACAACGGAATCTCATCCTGGAACACTTAAAGATCGGATATTCACATCGCCAAATAGCTGAAATGCTAAATCTAAGCAAATCAACTGTATTTAACATCATTCGTCGCTTCGTCGACGAAAATCGGATAGAGGACAAGGGTAGAATGGCACCAAACAAGATTTTTACCGAACAGGAAGAGCGGATGATCATCAGGAAAATAAGGGAAAATCCCAAGCTATCGGCTCCAAAACTGGCTCAACAGGTGGAGGATGAAATGAGGAAAACTGCAGTGTGGAAACTGTGCGCCGGGTTCTACGCAACTATGACTTTACTGCCCGAGTACCACGGAAGAAGCTCTTTATAGGCGCAAAAAATAAAGGGACTAGGATGTCGTTCATCAAAACGCACTTGGACATGGATTTGGAGTTCTGTGACACATTCATATTTGAAGATGAGCCCAAATTCAACATTTTTGGCTCAAACAGACGGAATTTTATGTGGCGACAGTCCAATACTGAGCTGAATTTTTTGATGAGCTGTGAGACACTGTATATTATATCAACTTGGATAGATATATAGAATATTCGCTTATCATTTTTCGTTACTAAGTCGACCCGATAAAGCATATTAAAAAGATTAGGCAGTTTGGGTTTGCACTCTGTTTAATTCATATATCAGCAGATTTTTGTTTGTACTTTAAATCCGTGGCGAATATTCATTTATCTGTTTTTTGATAAATTGGTTAATTCTTTCGATTCAATCGTCACGGTTTGTACTGCGTCAGCTTTTCACTGAATGAACAACAAATCAAACACTTTTGTCGTATTTTAAGTGATTTTATTTTGACCCCTTTGTTATCATTTAAGGAAAAAAAATCGTTAGAAAAGAAGAGTGAGCTTGACTACAAGATACGCTGGATTTAAAATCGATTAAAACGCGAATTCAAACTGATTCTTATTCAATCCCTATGTTGATTGACCAGTTAATAAGTAATATATCAGGGGATATTATGTATTAATATATCTATACCTTAATTAATCGCTGATTTTATTTCCATCGGAAATTGATTTATATTTATTTACGTAGCGAGGGGAGTTAACGATCAAATAAATATTAGATAAACTTGACAAGCACGTGGTATACGAGAACTTATATTCAGAATTTCTCTAGTTTTTCTCAGAGACTATGAGTAATATTATTATATACAAACGGACAGACAGACGAACCTGATTAAATCGACTTCTTCCTGTTACATACTTTTGCACAACTGCATTATACCCTTTTAACACATTTCTATTGGGTTCAGTGCATAAAAAAGAATGAATGTGAGATTGTGAATATTTTAATATTTCGTATCTATTTTGGTATTTTTTTTTTTTTTTTTGGTAATGTGTTTTGTGGCAAACCTTTGACTTTTGGACTAATATAAATAAAATAAGTTTAAATTAAATGAAATATTAAACAATTTCAATATCGATCTGACTTCTTGTGCATTGTATAAAACGACAGAAACAGAAAACAAACGAATTCTATAATTTGACGAATTATTAAAATATTAATGCCTTGTTCTTTTTGTTTAAGTTTTATTATAAAATTTGACACTTTGAAACATATCCCAGTTGCGCTTAAGATGAGATTAAAACGAAATTTAAAATTGCTTAATAATGAACTAGCGAACTTTATTCTTGCCGCGTTCAGTTTTATTTTTATTCCCCTTAATGTTGTGCCCCAGTAATTTATGCACGCCTCTCCAGGGAGTCTGTCTCCCCTCGACTAGCCAAAACAATGTTGGTGCTGTAGGAATTCCCGCCTGGTCCAATTCGGTCGAAGGAGGGTTGAACTGCATGCATACATTAACATCAAATTACGGCCAACAACAAGAACAACAACATCAATATTTAAAATAGAAGAAAGCAAAAATAAAAAAGAATAAATATAATTCTTTGTTGCGCGGAAAATGTTCAACTATTACAAAATGAACTCAACGAGTACTACTATATAGAGCATACGTATATAGAACAATACATACATATATAGTACTAGTAATGTAGATGAAAATGTCTGACAAGGCAAACTCCGAAATTGCTGCTGAAAATAAAAGAATGCAAATTGAACAAAATAATATTTTGCTCCGTTCTTTGAGCTACTTAAAGTTCGCGCATATCGCGAAATAACTTTAAGGACACGAAATAACTTTGCCACGAATTTCAGTTAATATTAATGAAATTAGTCCTTGGTATGGGATATTGGTTGCTGATATTGGTTTCTGTTTCGGTTAACTGACCCTCTGGCAGCTGCTGACCATCGGCTAATTGGCTCTGCCATGCGGTGCAGAATTCTAACCATATTGACAGTTGATAAAGCATATTATAATTACAAACATTCACAAACACCCCTTCACACAGCCATACATACACACACACACACACACACACACACAGAAATTAAGCAGGAGTGCATGTCCACCCATTCTCCAGTAAATTGTTTGGTCAGAGGTCAGCAATAAGCGATTGTAAGCTGTGCCTGATTTTGAGCAGTCTGCCTGCCTTGACAAGTGATTGGTTTCTGGTGAGTGCTACTGTCATGTGGTGTGTATGGCTATATTTAATACCGATTGACTGTCATTAGCTAAAGGCATACAAAGCTCAGATAAATTACAAGTCTAAGTCAATTGAATTTATTTATTTATTCTTTTGAATAAGCTTCAATTAGACTTGGTATTCACTTATACGTAAATTATATTAAAGCAAAACCTGAAAATAGCTAGTAAAGTGCAGTTTATATCTTCGTTTACTTGCAAATGTGTTCCTAGCAAATACAGTTTAAAGATTATGTTAGTAATAATAGATAATATATTTTTAAATTTCCACAAATGTTTACAATGGTTTTAAATTTGCACTAATTTCAGTTGGAAAACGTTGCATCCCCATGGCATTGAGCAGACACCGCACACTCCGCGAATTTTATTCGCCTCATAACCAATGCTGGGTCGTCAGTGTCCCTGACCTTAGACAAGAAGCCAAATTTGCGTGCTGTTGTTATCAGCGGGTGTTTTCATGCTTATCACACTTGTTGGGGGCGCCACGTGCTCGATGCTTGCCACTCTCGCTGCTCGCGCTTTCGACCTCTCCGGAACTGTCATAAATCTTGCATACTCGTGCGGCGCATGCGTCGAACGTGTTCCAATGCCAAAATGTTTCGTCTGCCAGTCGGAAACATCGCACCATTCATAAAACGTGGCGATGTTTTTGCGGGGCAGTAGGATGCTGGGGCATCCTGGGCAAAAGGACTCTGTGTGGTCCTGGGACTTGGGCACTGGCAAACAGTTTGCGGTGATTCCTAAGACGGAGCGGTTGCAAAAGCGGCAAAAGATATTTGGTGCGAGATACAATTGAAGAACTTTGACATATGTTGAGCAACCAGAAGCGAACTCAAGACGTGTCAAAAACGATTTAAATTATGTATTAGCCACAAACTGCAAGTACTTTTTACAAGCCAACCTGTCAAGATAAATAATCAAAATTGTCTCCACCACAACAAAAAAAATATAAAAAAAAAGAATAAGAATATAAGAATAAAAGTTTCCAGTCAAGTGTTGTCAAGTGTGTGTGCTGCAAAGTTAGCCGTGAAAGTTGAGTGCGCGCTCGTAACTTGGCCGGAATATTGCGTCAGTTGCCGTAACACGTTGCCTCGACTGCCTAAAACTATTTTTCGGCCAGCCTGTCAGATTGCACACGGAGTTAGCAGTAGTTAGCCCTTTACTTGCCAACTACTGCTGTCTGAGTATTTGTGCTGCCTGTCAACAAAATTTACAGTTTTGACAACAACATTTTGTTAAACAACACAACGGTGTCGTGCGCGGCCGGATACGCAAGTGAACTTGCCCCAACAATTTGAAGCGCAACTTGAAGTTGTCGCTTACTGGTTAACTAGCGACCACACACACACTCCCACACACACACACACACACACATACAGCAGAGCACGCGTGTGATGTAAATGGTAAGTTCAAGTTGTGGCTGTTATGAGTAACGTTACAATTCCAAACCGTCGACGCACTTTTGATACTTCATTTTTTTTGTTGTTGTTGTTGCTGTTGAACCTGCCATCTACAAATTGCTATTTGGAGTTTGTTGTTTGTGTGGGTTTTTGACTTGTTTCTCAGGTTGAGGTTTGTTGTGCCTTTTTTGTTGACGGTACAGCTTTGACTGCTGCTGCTTTTTATTTTTATTTTTTGTTTCACAAAGAGCAGAAGTTACAAGAAGTGTAACCAAAAAACCATAAATTGGTTGAATATGTGTGTATGTTGTGGGTAGGTTCAGAATTTGATTCGACATTTTGATGTTTAATTGCATTTTTTATTTATAATTAAACTGGCTCTTCGTTAATGAAACATATTTGTGTATCCTGATTGGAATATTAATAAATCATTACATTTTGAAAACCCTGCATTACCCTTATTATTTAATGTTACTCATTTTTGTGATTAGGAAACGAATTCGGCTTTAAAAAATCGTTGTTAATTTTTACTTCAAGAAACAAAGTTTTTATATTTTTA